AATGAGGTCATCGCCATCTTGGATTACAAGCGGTAGTTTTTCCCGGCCGTTTCGACTTGCATGATCACGGTTACTAAAAAAGTAACTGTGCATTGATTACAATATTTACCATACTTTGTAGCCAATTTCAGTGAGTAATACAACTTCATTCGCTGACATAAAACAAGTTTTAATCCTGAAATTCGACCCTGTGTCTTAGTGTTCCCACAGTTCTTGACCGGGTGCTCACGTTTATTGAAACCTCGCATAAATCAAGAAATAAGTATGTGTACAAAGTGTACGAAAGCATTCCTTTATTTGACCTTATCATACGATCACAAAAACAACTTTTTAAAATCTTTTTTGGGGTGGTCCTCGGGTAAGCGCCCACCCCCATTTTCTCCCGATTTTGCATGTTCAGGCCCCTGGGCGCGTGCCCGGGGTAATACGGTATTACCAATAACACTATGGTAATATTAAAGACTTTCCGTTTTCGACATTGTGAAATTCTTTTGTTTTTATGTAGAAAAATGCAATATTTTTACTAAGTGAAATCATATTTATTAAAGTTATTGTTCATACATGAGTTGTCGAACACACTACATAGTTTGTAATTTCATCCAGCTCCTTTCAGTCACAATTCAAGACAAATAAAAGGCACAAATTTAGATAATATAGCAAATTATTATTTTCCTGTAATATTCGTGTGTAATCAGTAATAATGAAAATAATTTATGGGTACATATGGAATACATTTCGTTATGAATTATTCTTAATATAAATTTCTAAATTATCTTGTCAAAATCATTTTTTTTTCAGGGTTTTACCCCCAGAAAAGACGAAAGAATTTCATAATGTTGGGAACGGGAAGTCTTTTTTTATTATTTCTTATTGGGAACCGAAAGTTTTTATCGTAGTGCTTCGCCTCGGTTGACAATATGCTCTTTGGGTCGCTAAAGCTGTATGTCCACCTCTGTTGGGGTGAACATTTGTATTATTATACCGAATAAATCTTAAAACAGAAATTGTGGCACTCGATCATGGCAATCTTCCAGGTCATCGTTAGAAGGATTTTCGTAGGCAAATTCAATCTCTACTCAAGGCTATCTTGAAGGATTGCAGGAAATTGACCCTTACCAATTCATATTTATGAATTAATCGTGATTCAGGTACCATAGTGTTTTTGTCACTGAGTATTCCTAAAGATACGCAAAAAAACATGAACTTTCGCGTGGGATTTTTCATGCAAACATTGTCAATGCTTCCCAGACACTTGATTCTTTTTCATCTTTCAATTTTTCTAAGACGTCGTCGAGATGCAAGTGCGATTCCTCTTAGCAACGCGTGTGGTCGGCGCCTTTGATTGTGTTTATTTTGTTCTTTTATTCACGAAATCTATCACTGGCAGCATTTGTTTTGTCGCGTCTCACAATTTAATGTACAAGCTGACTTTGTTTT